ATAAAAACAACATATCCAGCTCAAGTACAATTGAAACAATCAGCAAATGTGTTTACTAATTCGGTGACCTCTGAACCACAGACACTCAAGGTAGGACCAAAAGGGAAAATTGGAAATCCAAATGAGACTTATCTGCAGGTGGGGGATGACAATCAGGAGTGCTGGGACCCGCCAGTGCCTTTGAAACACCTCCCTCCTGAAGATCAACAAATCGTCAAAGAAATGCTAAAGGAAGAATGCAATGCTTTTGCCAAAGATGACTCTGATGTAGGATGTATTCCTTCTTTACAGTTACAGATTCGTCTCAAAGACAGTACACCAGTCACGAGAACTTACATGTCTGTGCCGAAACCACTGCACCCAAGAAGTTAAGGAATATCTGCAGGATCTGATAAATCGAGGATGGATTGCAGAATCAAAATCATCATATTCCTCACCCATTGTGTGCGTAAGAAAGAAAGATGGCAGTTTAAGACTGTGTTGCGATTATAGAGAGTTGAACCAGAAGTCTATTCCTGACCGTCATCCAATTCCTAGAATCCAAGACATGCTGGACAGTCTAGGAGGAAGTTCATGGTTTTCTGTGCTAGACCAGGGGAAAGCATACCATCAAGGATTTATGGAAGAAGCCAGTCGACCATTGACAGCATTCATTACACCTTGGCGTTTGTATGAATGGATCCGAATACCCTTTGGTCTGAGCTCTGCACCAGCCGAATTCCAACGCAGTATGGAGACATGTTTAATAGGACTGAGAGATGAGATTTGCCTGCCATACTTAGATGACAACCTTGTTCATAGTAAATCATTCCAGGAGCATGTCCGGTCAGTACTCCAACGTTACCAACAACACGGAATCAAGTTAACAGCCAGAAAGTGTGAACTTTTTCAAAATAAAGTCAGATTCCTGGGCAAGATTGTGTCAAAAGAAGGCCACTCTATGGACCCGGCCGACACGGCACCTGTTCTTGCCTTAAGAAACAACCAACCAAAGACCGTCGGAGAACTCAGGAAACTATTAGGATTTATTTCCTACTATCGCCCTTACGTTCAAAACTTCTCCAGAATTGCCAAACCTCTCTATGAACTATTGTCAGCAGGTTTGACACCAACCACAACCTCAACACCAGATAACCAGACAAAGAGGAGGAGGAAACCAATCCCAAAGTCAAAAGGTCAACTTCCATCCTATCAGTCTATAGCCTGGACTGACCATCATCAGGTAGTACTGAACCAGCTCATTGAAGTGTTAACTCATCCTCCAGTTATAGGTTACCCCGATTATTCCAAACCCTTTGTTCTTCACTGTGATGCCTCACAAGAAGGACTAGGAGCCGTATTATACCAAGAGCAAGAGGAGAAACTAAAGGTGATTGCTTATGGGTCTAGAACTCTCACACCTGCTGAGAAAAACTACCACATGCATTCAGGGAAGCTCGAGTTTCTAGCAATGAAGTGGGCAATATGTGATAGATTCCCGAGATTACCTATATTACTGTCCATCATTTGTTGTATATACTGACAACAATCCACTAACCTATGTCCTCACTACAGCAAAATTTAATGCTACAGGACATCGATGGGTTGCAGAACTAGCTGATTTCAACTTCACTATTAAATATCGTCCTGGGAGAAGGAATGCTGATGCAGATGTACTTTCTCGTATGCCATTGAGTCCTGAACAATACATGCAACAATGTTCACAAGCAGTAGACCCCAAAGTCATCACTTGCATAACTCAAGCAATTCAAGCACATCAAAAAGAAAGGATACCTTGGCTATGTCCAATGACGATTGCCAATACAACCGATGCAGCACCAAAGAAGGTAACTCAAATACCAAAAGAGACAATAAGAACCGCACAGAAGGAAGACTCTGTGATTGGAAAAGTATGGAAGTATAAAAGCCAAAACAAGTTTCCATCCAAACAGGAACGACAAGGTGAACCTGTTGATCTTTTCATACTTATGAAACAGTGGACCAAACTCTACCTCGACGACAATAAAATTTTGAGACGGAAAACATCATCTGGTTCTCAACTAGTGTTGCCCAAGTTGTACCATCACTTAGTATGGAAAGAGTTACATGAAGAGATGGGACACTTAGGAGTAGAAAGGACTGTAAATTTAATCAGAGAAAGATTCTTTTGGCCACATATGCACAGGGACACTGAGAATTATATCACACGTCAATGTACTTGTCTGAAAGACAAACGGCCAAATAAGCTTGTTCGGGCCCCGTTGAACAATATTGTGACAACTTATCCTTTTGAGATGGTCTCCATTGACTTTCTTCATCTCGAGAAATGTAAAGGTGGATATGAGTATATCTTAGTGGTTATAGATCATTTTACAAGATTTGCTCAGGCATATGCAACCAAGAACAAGTCCGCAAAAACTGTTGCTGACAAAATATTCAATGATTTTGTCTTGAAATTCAGATTTCCTACCAGAATTCACCATGATATGGGTAGAGAGTTTGAAAATCACTTGTTTTTGACATTAGGGAAGCACTGCCACATCCAAAATTCTCACACAACGCCATATCACCCAGAAGGTAATGGGCAAGTTGAAAGATTTAATCGTACCCTGCTATCCATGCTTCGTACCCTGTCACCAGATTCCAAAAAGGACTGGAAAAATTCACTAGCAAAGGTAGTCCATGCATATAATTGTACTCGAAGTGAAGCTACAGGACAATCTCCATTCTTTCTACTGTTTGGAAGGTCTCCAAGATTACCCATTGATAGTATGTTTGACACTCCAGTAACTGAAAAATACAAGAACTACTCTGAATATGTGAACATATGGACAGATAGAATGTCTGAGGCCTATAAGGTTGCTTCAAAAATAGCTACTCAAGCTGCACAGAGAGGAAAAGAACACTATGACAAGAAAATTCATGGAGCTGAACTCCTACCAGGTAGCAAAGTTCTAGTCAGAAATCTTACTGAAAGAGGAGGTCCAGGAAAACTGAGATCATTTTGGGAAGATACCATACATGTTGTTATTAAAAAGAAGTGTGCAGACAGTCTAGTGTATGAAATCAAACCAGAAACTGGAAAAGGCAGAACAAGGATCTTACATCGCAACTTACTATTGCCATGTGATTATCTACCTAGCGACCAAGGTCAACAGATACCCAAAAGAACCAATGCAAGAAAGCAAGTGAAGGATCGAAATACAACTCAACAACCTACACAGATATCTGAGGGAGAATCAGAAAATGAATCAGATCACGAACAAAGAAACTGGAGATCTTTCATCCCAGTCACCCAGCATTACCACTCAGAGGAAAGTACAGAGCTAAATCCAGAAGCTAATGAGTTCTATCCACGTCAGCTGAAAGTAAGTGAGTATGATTTAGAAGGAGTCAGAGAGACTGAGCCTATAGATCAAATTGAACAAACTGAGTATGCATTTGGAGGTATAGAAGAAGAATGCCCAGCAACAGAGAACACAGAACAACTTGTTGAAAGTGATGTAGAGGAGAATGAGGACCTTTCAGATTCACTTCCTCAATGTAGAATACAACCCTACAGGAACAGGAGACAACCAAAGATTTTGACATATGACACTTTAGGTCAACCCAGTAGTGTTACCAGAGTTTCATCTATACAGGTTATAGACAGTATTCCTACATTACCTGTTGACTCTAGCTGGTATTTCAGTTCAGAATGTTTTGCTGAAGACTATAGAAGTTGGTAGAAGTGATTATGTTTATTGATCCATTGTTTACTATTTGGGACACTATACCAAAGTTAATTACCAAAACCAGAATAATTATATGTTGCTTTTCTGTTGGTTCAATAAGAAAAAATATAATTGCATTTGTACTGCAGATATTGTAGCTCAGGCAGAAACAGTTTTAGGTGAGAGACCTAGATGTTACAAAGAGACAGAGTCGGCCGATAAAAGTACAGAGCAGTTGATGGCAACGTTATGCTGCATTGTTGATGTACAATGGGTATTCCGCCATTATGATAAAAAGGTATAAAAGTATAAAGATGTTCCCTAGTTTCTCATCACCTTTGTCCAAACTTCGTAACCTATACAAATATGTATAGAAAGGGGTTTTACTAAATAGTTGGTTACACGCAACTATATCTTGCCAGGTACTATAGCGCTGTGGGCCTGGTGGGAAGCTGTGATGTAATAGGGAGTAGATGTCACAGGGAGGATGTTTCCTCAAGTAACTTGGTTACTACTTACCATTGGCTTCCTGGTTACTACTAGACAAGTAAAAGAATGTTTTCTTATAAAAATTCTGCGTATGTCAGGGACGACATAACAATTTGTGGGGGAGAGTGTAAGAGGTGTAGAAAATAGGCAGCCCCATAAAATTTAAATCCAAAGCCTAATACCTAATATAACAGTAATCTATCTTTGTCAATAGAAGATACTAGTGATTGCATTTTTATTGTACCATCACAAGAGGGCAGAACTACTTCCTGTGATAATAGGAAGACGCAGAAGTAGGAACTAAAAAGCTAACACTTTGTTTCCTACAGGACAGTGATTACAGTGAACATATCCAGTCACATGTAATTAAGAGTTTTCTGTGTTTGCTACAAGTAAGCAGGAGTCTGTTTAACATGATAAATAGGACAAAATGACTTAACATGTCCTGGTGGTTAGTAAATGTCGCTGTTACTATTATGCAATCGGATTACTTGTAGCATAAATGTGAATATATATTGCAGCTATGCGATTTGGCGCTAAGATACAGGGAATGTGATTTCTCTATTGTAATACGCTATTGTTATGCAGAATAGGTTACTAGCATATCTGCAGAGGTCTAGATATTCAATATTGCTATTAAAGATGTTTATTCAAGTATATGAAAATACTTATTAATGTATATGGAAATATTTAGTAATGTATAGAGGACAGTGATTACAGTGAACATATCCAGTCACATGTAATTAAGGGTTTTCTGTGTTTGTTACAGCCATTCCTAATAAAACACTACTGGTTTCACCCGACCCATCCTTCGCACAGTTGAATTATTTACCGTATGTGCAACAATCACAAACGTGGCAAAAACATGGCAAAAACACAATACATGCTTTTCTGCAGCATTTCCATTGAAGTCTATAGAAACAAAAATGCAACTTTTTGCAAGCAAAACAGTCCCTGACCCTTTCCAAAAAACACAGTGGGTGAAAACACACAGGTGTGAACATGTCCCATAAGAAATCATGTTAAATGGACTGTACTGCATTTCTGCAAAACGCTGCAGGAAAGGCTTAGGTGTGAACCTAGGGTGAATCAGTACTGACAGTTGAAAATTTGCATTTATTTCTTCTTATCTATGCTGTATCTACGTCTTAAGGAGGAAGAGTTGTACATATCATATGTGGTGCCACGGTAGGCTGGGTATTCTACTTCAGATGCATTTCTGCAAATACCTCTCACCACCGCTCCTTAAATGGGTCTTACAAACTCTTGTAGTGTGCTCTTTTGGTGTACTCAACATGACGATACAGTAGTCTGATTAACTCCAAGCTGAATAAAGGCAAATGGGTATTCATACTGAACACAGTGCCACCATCATTTCTCCAAAAGTCACAAGTTGGTGACAAAATCATCCAATAGAACAGTCAGCTTCAGATACAAAGCAGGCCATTTTAAATCACATTACAGCATTCCAGTCACAGCAGCCTTGACAGGTTATTAAACCCATTAGCAGGAAATCTTTTAAGGCAAGCCTACTTAAAACTGTTGTATCATGCCATATGTTGTATAAAACTTCTAGCAGACCTCTAAACAGGCTGCATGCAGGTCATAATTGGATGTTGTAAGGCCATTTAGAAGCAGTACCCATTTTAGTCTTGCTTTACTTGACCCAAAATAGCCCACTTTATACAACCAGTTCACAATCTCTACACACAAGTTATAGTCCTGGTTATGATACAAATACTTCATAACAAGTGTATGCCCAAATGTATAAGTACATTTTGATTAGTTTGATACTAAACAGGCCTTTATTATAATGTACAGCAGGCAAATTGGTCACAGTAACTCTCTTAAGCTACAGCGGGGAAAGTAATTATTTGTTCCTCTGCAGATTTTGTAATTTTTCCTACTTACAAAGAAATTAACGGTCTATACTTTTTTTTTTATCATAGGTGCATTTTAAATGATAGAGACAGAATATCAACCAAAATCCAGAAAAAACACATGATACAAATGTTATAAATTGAGTTGCAATTCTGTGAGTAAAATAAGTATTTGATCCCCTACCAACCAACAATAATTCTGGCTCCCACAGACTGGCAATGTGCTCATGTGGTACACAGATTAGTCCTGTCAATTTAAGAAGGTGCTCCTAAAGACAACTCGTTATATGTATAAAAGATACCTGTCCACAGAATATCTTTCTTCCATTCAAACCTCACCATCATTATGGGCAAGACCAAAGAGCTGTCAAAGGACATCAGGGACAAGATTTTGGACCTGCATAAGGCTGGAATGGGCTACAAGACCATCAGCAAGAAGCTTGGTGAGAAGGAGACAACTATTGGAGTGATTATTCACTAATGGAAGAAACACAAAATAACCATCAACTGCCTTTGGTCTGGAGCTCCATGCAAGATGTCGCCTCATGGGGTAAGGATGATCATGAAAAAAGTGAGGGATCAGCCCAGAACTACATAGGAGAAGCTTGTGAATGATCTCAAGGCAGTTAGGACCACAGTCGTCAAACACACCATTGGTAACACTATATGCGACCCTGGATTGAAATCCTGCAGTGCCTGCAGGGTTCCTCTCCTCAAGAAGGCACATGCACATCTGAAGTTTGCCAATGAACATCTAATTTATTCAGAGAATTGGTAGAAAGTGCTGTGGTGAGATGACAGCAAATTTGAGCTCCTTGGCATTAACTCAACTCACCATGTTTGGAGGAAGAAAAATGCTGACTATGACCCTAAGAACATCATCCCTAGTCAAGCACGGAGGTGGAAATATTCTTTGGGGCTGTTTCTCTGCTAAAGGTACATGCCGATTTTGCCGCATTCAGTGGCCAATGGATGGGGCCATTTATTGTAAAATCTTGTATGAGAACCTTCTTCCCTCAGTCAGAACTCTGAAGATGGGTCGTGGATGGGTCTTCCAGCATGACAATGACCCAAAACATACTGCCAAGGCAACAAAGGAGTGGCTCAAGAAGAAGCACATTAAGGTCCTGGAGTGACCTAGCCAGTCTCCAGACTTTAATCCTATACAAAATTTATGGAGGGAGCTGAAACTTTGAGTTGCCAATCAACAGCAAAGAAACATTAAGAATTTAGATAAGATCTGCAAAGAAGAGTGGACCAAAATCCCTCCTGAGATGTGTGCAAACCTGGTAACCAACTAGAAGAAACGTCTTACCTCTGTGCTTGCCAACAAGGGTTTCTCCACCAAGTACTAAGTCATGTTTTGCTTGGGGAACAAATACTTATTTTACTCACAGAACTGCAACTCAATTCATAATATTGTATCATGTGTTTTTTTCTGGATTTTCGGTTAATTGTCTGTCTCTATCATTTAAAATACACCTATGATAAAAAAGATAGACATTTAATTTCTTTCTAAGTGGGCAAACGTACAAAATCTGCACAGGATCAAATAATTATTTTCCCCACTGTATATGGGCATCTTATTTATATCACATTTAACCTCTACTAAATTGTCATTTTTTTTTCTGTGCAATAATGTCTATTGTCAAACTGGAAAACACTGTCACATGGAGTAATGTTACAGTAAGAAAAACTGACATTGAAGGAGTGGCCGCTGATCTATCAAAAAAATATTATAACACACTCCTCAGATCGTTTGACTGACTATGTCATTTCTGTAAATGCCTTCCTCAGGGATGAGAGAAGATGGCTGCATCTGCAGCTCACAAGCTCTGGTTTGTCATCAAAAATGTTATTTAAAAGCAGCAAAGCTGCTTCTCCAAATATTCTAAATAAGAAATTAAAGAATACTTGCCCTTTGAAGAATGTTATCATAATTTAATCTCTTTTATCTTCCTGTCTGAAGTGGCAATGGGCATCACCGACATTTAAAGTGTAACTAAAAGCAAAACTTTTTCTTAAGTTTTGGATAGAGTGAAGAAGGATTAAAACACCGGTCAGGTTTTTATTGCTGTCTGTGCCCTTGTTAGGGAGATTCACCCTCTCTATTTGTCATGTTTACCATCATTACCAAAGAAAATCCCAAATTTTGGGTTGGCCTCAGAACAGGAAAAGAGGCGATATTTTCCAGCGGGGACACTAGTTCTGGTGACCCTGGTGACAACAAGGGATTCCCTCACTTTATGGGGATTTTCTTTCACTTAATTATCAAGGCGGGAGCAGACAGAATCTTGGAGGCTAAGAATATGCATGCATCATACAAACTAGGGGGAGTACAACTGGGGGAATCAATGGTGGAGAAGGATCTGGGAGTTCTGGTAGATCACAAGCATAATAATGGAATGCAATGCCAAGCTGCGGTTTGTAAAGCGAGCAAAATCCTCTCTTGTATTAAAAGAGGTATAGACTCCAGAGAGAGAGATTTCATTTTACCCCGGTACAAATCATTAGTGATACCTCATCTGGAATATGCAGTTCAGTTTTGGGCACCAATTCACAAAAAGAACATTGGGGAACTGGAGAAAGTACAGAGAAGGGCAACCAAACTGATAAGAGGCAGGGAGGAGCTCAGCTACTATTATTATTATTATTATACAGGATTTATATAGCGCAAACAGTTTGTGCAGCGCTTTACAATATAGGGGAGACAGTACAATTACAATACATTTCAGTACAGAAGTAATAGGAGGGCCCTGCTCGTGGAGCTTACAATCTAAAGGAAGGGGGAGGTGATACAAAAGGTGATAACTGCGGGGGGATGATCTGGCGGAGGTCATTCAAGTACAGTTCTTAGGTGGAGGTGGAGATGGGGTAGACTTCCCTGAAGAAGTGAGTTTTCAAAGATCGCCTAAAGGCAGACAGGGTGGGGGCTGACCGGACATGCTGTGGTAGGGAGTTCCAGAGGATGGGAGAGGCTCTGGAGAAGTTCTGGAGGCGAGCGTGGGAGGAGGTGATGAGGGAGCTAGAAAGCGTAGTGGGTAATTTGGGCGGTATCTGTGGATGAGGACGGTGATGTAGGGGCAGTGTTGTGGATGGCTTTGTAAGCTGTGGTTAGTATTTTGAATTTTATATGTTGGGTTAGTGGAAGCCAGTGGAGGGATTGGCAGAGCTGGGCAGCAGTCGCTGATCGGTTGGTAAGGTGTATGAGTCTAGCAGCAGTCTAGTATGAAAATAGACTGAAGGGGGGATAGCCTGTGTAACGGTAGACCAGTGAGGAGGGAGTTGCAGTAATCGAGGCGGGATATAACCAAGGCGTGGATAAGTTGTTTTGTGGTGTCATTGGTCAGGAAGGGGCGGATTTTGTTCCGGAGGTTGAGGCGGCAGGATTTAGCCAGTGAGTGGATGTGGGGCCCAAAGGAGAGGTCAGAGTCTAGGATTACGCCTAGCACCCTGGTATGAGGGGAAGGACAAATGCTTTTGCTGTTGATCTTAATGGTAAAGCTATGAGGAAAGATTAGAGGAACTGAATTTATTCTCTCTTGAGAAGAGGAGATTAAGGGGGGAAATGATCAACATGTATAAATACATCAGTGGTTCATATAGTGAACTCGGTGTAGAGTTATTCACCTTGAGGTCATCACAGAGGACAAGGGGGCACTCTTTATGTCTGGAGGAAAAGAAATTTAATCTCCAAACACGGAAAGGTTTCTTCACAGTAAGAGCTGTGAAAATGTGGAATAGACTCCCTCTAGAGTTGGTTCTGGCCAGCTCAGTGGATTGCTTTAAAAAAGTCCTGGATTCTTTCTTAGATACACAGAATATAACTGGATACTAATATTTATAGGTAAAGTTAATCCAGGGAATATCTGATTGCCTCTCAGGGGATCAGGAAGGAATTTTTCACCTGCAGGAGCAAATTGAATCATGCTGTGCTGGTTTTTTTTTAACTTCCTCTGAATCAATTGTGGGTATAGTATTACAACTTTTTTTTTTTTGGTTGAGCTGGATGGACTTTTGTCTTTTTTCAGCCAAACTAACTATGTAACTATGGAGCAGCTGCACATGACAACCAATCAGCTTTTATCTTCAGCTTGTTCAGTTAAACTT